GTGGCCAGATCGTTTCAGATCCTGTTGCGGTGAGGGAGCGTTGGGCTGAGTACTTTGAGCAGTTGTATCAGGTTGACCCTCCAACAGTTAACTTGGATGTGGGTAGTGCCGTGATTCCGCTGCCGGACCCACCCATTAGCGAGGACCCTCCCTCCCTAGCTGAGGTTTGGGAGGCGATCTCCAAGCTAAAGAGTGGTAAAGCAGCGGGTGTTTGCGGCATCTCAGCTGAACTGTTAAAGGCTGATGGTGAACCTATGGTGCGGGGATTGCATGCTGTCCTGGCTGCCATTTGGCAGTCCGGTACAGTTCCCTCTGACCTGTTGAGGGGCGTGGTCATCCCGCTCTGGAAGGGGAAGGGGGACCGATGGGATTGCAGCAATCAACGCGGCATCATACTGCTCAGTGTACCAGGCAAGGTTCTTGCTCGCATCCTTCTGAGGCGTATTAGAGACCATCTACTAAGGCATCAGAGGCCAGAGCAATCCGGATTCACTCCTGGTAAGTCCACAATAGAACGTATCCTTGCGCTTCGAGTCATTGTAGAGCGCCGCCTTGAGTTTGGACGTGGGTTGCTCACAGCCTACATCGACCTGAAGAAAGCATTCGATACAGTGCATCGGGAATCACTCTGGGAGATCCTGAGACTGAGAGGAATTCCAACAAGGATTATTGAACTAATAGCAAACCTATATACTGGTACTGAAAGTGCTGTAAAAAGTGGTGGGGGCCTGTCGAGCTTCTTTCCTGTCAGTTCAGGAGTGAGGCAAGGCTGTGTTCTTGCACCAACACTTTTTAACACCTGCATGACTGGGATTACTAGGGCAGAGCTACTGTTCAAAGTCACTGTGGAGCAACACTGGGTAATATTAAGGTTACAGACCTTGACTTTGCCGATGATGTTGCTTTTCTATCTGAGTCTTTGGAAACCCTAGTGGTGGCTCTCGGTGCATTTAGTAATGAAGGGAAGCCCTTGGGTCTAGAGGTCTCCTGGACCANGGGACTGGAAAGTGTGTAAAAGTGTGGTGGGGGCCTGTCGAGCTTCTTTCCTGTCAGTTCAGGAGTGAGGCAAGGCTGTGTTCTTGCACTAACCCTTTTCAACACTTGCATGGACTGGATACTAGGCAGAGCTACTGTTCAAAGTCATTGTGAAGCAGCACTGGGTAATATTAAGGTTACAGACCTTGATTTTGCCGATGATGTTGCAATTCTATCCGAGTCTTTGGAAACCTTAGTGGTGGCCCTCGATGCATTTAGTAATGAAGCGAATCCCTTGGGTCTAGAGGTCTCCTGGACCAAGACCAAGATCCAGGACTTTGGGGACTTGCTAGGAGAACCTGTTCAGTCGGTAAGTGCTTGCGGCGAGGACATTGAAGTCACAGAGAGCTTTACATACCTTGGTAGTGCAGTTCATAACTCTGGGCTGTCAGACCAGGAAGTCAGCAGACGGATTGGACTGGCAGCAGGGGTCATGAACTCTCTCGACAAGAGTATTTGGAGATGCCGGTACCTGTGCAGAAGGACCAAGCTACAGGTTTTCAGGGCCCTGGTAATGCCAGTTTTGCTCTACGGTAGTGAAACCTGGACATTATCCAGTGCACTGGAGTCTCGTCTTGACGCCTTTTGTAATAGATCCTTGCACCAGATCATGGGGTACTGTTGGCGGGACCATGTGTCTAACCAACGGCTACACCATGAGACTGGCACAGGACCTGTTACCTGCACAATCCGGGATCGCCAACTCAGGCTATATGGCCACCTGGCTCGCTTTCCACAGGCTGATCCTGCCCATCAGGTTGTCTCTGTAAGAGACAACCCTGGGTGGAGGAGGCCTGTGGGACGACCCAGGAGGTCGTGGTTTGGGCAGATCGATCAAACCTGTCGGGAAGAGCCCGAGATGGGCCGGGCTCCTGCCTGGCGACTTGCCATGAGGGATCCCAAAAGGTGGAAGCAGGTGGACGCGGCTATGCGCCCCCGTCGGCGTTAGCTCCGGATGATGATAAAATGTCAGATTTCAAGCCCACCTCTCACAGCACATGCCACTTCAGAATGGAACACCTCAGGGTGGGGTCCTCAGTCCAGCCCTTTTCAACATCCTCATGTCCAACATACTCGACATTCATTGCCCCACAATGACTTTGAACAGTAGCTCTGCCCAGTATCCAGTCCATGCAAGTGTTGAAAAGAGTTGACATTCAAACAGAAACACATCCACAGGCCCCCACCACACTTTACAGCACTTTCAGTACCAGTATACAGAGGGATGCAGGATCATCTCTTATGCTGATGACTTGGCAATCATAGCCTCTGGCAATCACTGCCTAACTAGAGCTCAGCGTTGTCTGAACCTGGTGTCTAAAGAGTGTTGTAGGACGGGTCTAAAAATATCGGCAGCAAAATCAAGAGCTATGGCTCTGAGAACTAATGTCAGAAACAAAAAACTCACTGAACAGGGTATGGATCTGGGATGGGTAAAGGACTACCTATACCTTGGTGTATGGATAGATCACACACTCACTTTCAAAATGGAGATCCAATACCTGCTTGACAGAACCAAGGAAAGACTCTCAGTCATGAAAGTCATGACAGGGAGACACATAGGAGCAGGACAAAAGGTACTAAGATCTTTCTATGTACATGCTGTCCGTCCTATTATTGACTATGCATTGTCGCTCTCATTGCTTCCAGTACAACATTAAAAGAAAAACTTGAAATAATACAAAATGAAGCTGCCAGGATCATGCTAGGTGCACCCAGATGGACAAAGGTCATCAACCTCCTCATGGAAGCTGATTTACCGTCCATGGACACCCGAATTGATCTAATGGCGGCACAGTTCCTTTCCAAGGTCTTGCAGGCACCCAGAAACTATTCCTTAAGACAAAGAGTACTCAGACGCCTACAACAACTATCAGTTGTTTGCGGACAACTCTTGGCTCACACACACAGCCAGAGTATTGATACGCTTCCAGCTAAAAGAATCATTGCTTGCCAAGAGCATGGACTCCCCTAACCCTGACTACAAAGAACCCCCGCCGTGGGCAAACGAAATGATCGAATTCTCAATCCTAAATCTTACAATGAGATAAGATCAATATTCCATGCCTAGTCTAAAGGCACAAGCACAAAGGGTCATTGATCAAATAACTCCTCCGGGTAGCATAAACTACTACACGGACGGATCCGTGGATCCCATAAACCATACTGCAGGCGCCGGCTTCGCAACAAGGGATACCAGAGCATCCATTAGGGTCACTGGCGATGCCTCATTGCTCCAAGCTGAAGCGGTTGCGATCATGGAAGCCCTGACACACGCGTCCCTAAGGGCAGGACACGTTGTCATTCACACAGATTCTAGAGCAACTATTGACAGCTTACAGCATAGCATGCTCCAAGACTACATCTACCTCCTGACAACTGTACTAACCATAGCCCAAGGAATTCTCAGTCAGGGTCCCAAGCCACATTGGCATTCAATGGAACGAGCTAGCTGACAAACTAGCTGAAAAGGGCAGGGGTATGCCCCCATCCTCCATGATCGTTAAACCCAGCCGAAGGGGACTAAGCCAAAGAACCAAAGCCACAGCATATGCGGTCCTCCGGGGAGCACATAGAGAAAATATCACAAACTCGCTCGCTGCCAAGTGGTACTCAGATGCTTCAGGCTATGAGCCACTGGTCCTTCCTCCAAACACAAAAAGAGGTACCGAAGTCATACTATTCAGACTAATAGACTAAGGCAAATTATTGATGACGAGACTGCCAGGTTATGCAAACACTGCGGCGAGTCTAACGCCACCCTGTTACATTACTTGCAGACTTGTGAACGCACACAATTTCTAAGACAGAGACCACCCACCACAGCCGCCGGGCTGGTAAAAAGGGTTTGCCACATGCTTACTCCGTGGCAGCTGGATCGCTTGATCGCAATTCAGCCACCACGATAAGCATACAATTCAAAGAAACCACTTGAGTTAACTAAAAATAGTTGATACAGGCCGGGCCACTCCAGAGAAAAGGCCGGGACGAAGCATGACTTAGCAAATCTAACTGAACTGAACTCTTGTTAGTATGTCCTGACGAAGCAATAGCGAAAAGGCCTTCGGCATATTGGTGTGTTTTCTTGTCCTTCCCTTCGTTCCTGTTGCAATCTGTTCGTCATGAATTCCACACACACACACAAACATATATATGAATATATATATATATATATATATATATATATATATATATATATATATATATATATATTCATATATATATATATATATATTATATATTATATATATATATATATATATATATATATATATATATATATATATATATATATATATGTGTGTGTGTGTGTGTGTGTGTGTGTGTGTGTGTGTGTGTGTGTGGAACATACCCACACACACATATATATTTGTATATATATTATATATATATATATATATATATATATATATATATATATATTATATATATATATATATATATATATATATATATATATATATATATATATATATATATATATATATATATATATATATATATATATATATATATACATATATATACATATATATATATATATATATATATATATATATATATATATATATATATATATATATATATATATATATATATATATATATATATATATATGTGTGTGTGTGTGTGTGTGTGTGTGTGTGTGTGTGTGTGTGTGTGTGTGTGTGTATGTATATATATATATATATATATATATATATATATATATATATATATATATAATATATATATATATATACACACACACACACACATACATGCATATATATATATGTAAGTATATATAGATAGATATAGATATATAAATATATGTGTACACAAACACACACATGTACACTTGAATTAAATTTACAGGGATCCCATCATAGTTGCAAAGCTGCAAATGTACTGAGGATTTTTCTGCTCAGATTCCCTCCTTAATCCGCTTACATCTCTCTTTGCGTGCATGCGTCTTCTCCGGCATGAAGGGGCATTCCTCGTCGTCCTCGGGGAAAGGAAACACAAAACCTGGACTATGTTGGTTCTCTTGTAATTGGGTAACACGATGGGGGTGAGAGCACACGTGACCGAAATCTGGTGGGAAAAAAGGCCACAGGCAATGCTAGTAGGTCACGTGGCCATGAGCAATGTTGCATTAAAGTAAAATGGTACAAATTTGGGAGGCCACATTGATGAATGGGAACAGCGTCATACAATGGCAAAGTATGCACACACACGAGATACAGAAATAAAGGGTAAACAATGCAGCAGATTACATGGTACCTGAGTCCTCACATACAGGCAGGATGCGGGAGCGAGCACTAAGGCGTGGTCTTTCCCTTGCAGCTGGACCTGGCCAGAGCGGGCGACGCCGAGGCCCTGCAGGCGGCCCTCGCCTCCCTCGCCCCCCGCCACCAAGGACTTCTTCGGTGAGGCTGCGCGGTCGCCCCAACCCTCGCTTTCTACGTCGTCATTTTTGCTATATATATATATATATATATAAAGTGTGTGTGTGTGTCTTCTTTTTATGGTATTGTATTGGTAAGATTCTTTATTAAAACCGAATCACAGAAGCTGCATCTTGGAGTAAGAAGCCGCATGGTTAGGCCTCGAAGGCCATTTGAAAGAGCTCGGTTTCTGATGAATGTGGACCCGCTGGCGGGATGGATCCCTAAGAGCAACGCTTCTAAAACCAAAGTGAATGTATGGAGAAATAGATGAAATAAGCAAATAGAAAATAGAAGCAAATTCAAGGAACGCCCCTCCATGGCGGCGCAGGCACTGACGAGACCTCGAGGGGCACCGGAGAGCGAATCGTTAACGGCGGAACAGCAGGTCATGTCTGCCGTTATCGGTCGTTATCAGAGGAAATGGCGCGAGTCCAGCCCCTCTGATAACAGGCGTCGAGCAGATACGACTGGCCGGGACGCCCTAGAGAGGACGACCTCTCGCGCCCTTCGAGGTTGAGTTGCCCCTCGGTGACGAAGGCGGCGAAGGAGCCTGGCCGGAGGATTTACGCGGCGGAGGAGGATCGTTCAGGCAAGAGTTGCAATGCGTAGGATTATGAAGGAATGACTTCCTCTCTCAAATTGTGATAATCTGATATTCTCTTTCCCCTTCTTCTCCCCTCCTCTTCCTCTCATTTTCCTCCTCCTTTTACCCTTCTTCTTTCTTCTACCTCCTTCCTCACCTCCCTTCTATTCCCTTTCCACCTTCGTCTTCCTCGCTCCCTTCCCCCCTCCTCTTTTCTCCTCTTCTTCTCTCCTCTACTTACCCTTCTCCCTCTTCCCCCTTCTTGTCTCCTCCCCCCCTCCTCTTTCCTCCTCTTCCCCCTTCCTCCTCTCTGTCCCCCCTTCCTCTTCCACTTTCTTCTTCCCCCATTCCTCTTCACTCCTTTTCACCTTTCCCCTTCCCACCTTCTCTGATCCTCTTCCTCTTCCACCCTTTTCTTTCCCCATCCTCTCCCCCTTTCTTTTCCCTCCTCTTAACCTTTCGTCTTCCCTCTTCCTCTCCCCCCCCTCCCCCCCCCCCTCAGCCGAGAAGCCTCTGCACGTCGCTGCCGAAGAAGGCCACGAAGAAGTAGCCAAGACGCTGATCTTGGGAGGTGTTGATGTTAACGGCAAAAAGGAGAACGGTATGTTTACATTTGCAATAATGATGATGATAGGGATTACGCTGATGATAATGATGGTAGTAGCTGTACTAGTAGTATTAGTAATAACAGTAATAATGATAATAATGATATTGATGATACAAATGATGATGTATAAGATAACATGAACGATAATAGTTGTAGTAGTAGAAATAGTAATAGTATTATGGATAATGATAACGATAATGATGATCATAATAATGCCGATGCCAATATTGAAAATGACGATAGTATTGATAATGCTGAGATTAGCAAAAATAATGATAATGATAATAATATGATGTGTAATTATAACATATAAATGATAATGATAATAACATTCATTGCAGGCATTTGTTCATGGAAAGAACCCCTAATACACTTTTTTTTCAGGCTGGACTCCATTGCACGAAGCAGCCTCTAAAGGTCACACATCGGTGGTGACGGCGCTTGTGACTCGAGGGGCGACTGTGAACGGGAAGACCAACCGTGGTAAGGCCCTTTGGCTGCAGTGGCAGTTGATTCAGGAGGATCGCTTTACGACAACAGCGAGTGTGTGTATAATACACACTCTCACGCACATATGTGTGTGTGTTTGTCTATATATATATATATATATATATATATATATATATATATATATATATATATATATATATATATATATATATATATATATATATATATATATATATGGTATATATATATATATATATATATATATATATATATATATATATATATATATATATATATATATATATAGTGTGTGTGTGTGTGTGTGTGTGTGTGTGTATGTGTGTGTGCGTGTGTGTGTATGTATGTCTGTGTGGATGTATATATACAAATATATATGTATGTGCATATATATTTGACACATGTATGTGTCTATTTAAAGCTACGCAGAAAAATATCGTTAGAAAATCATGCCAAGTCTTCTGACACAAGCAACGATACCTTTTGAAATAGACTTGCATACGCAACGAAACTGCTGATATCCTTCCTTCTCCAACTTATTTTTGGTGTGCGTGGCTTATCTGAATATTTCAAGGCATGAACACAAGCACAAACAGAGTAACGTTTGCACAAAAATGAAAATGAAAATAGCCACAATGAGAAATTGTAAATGAACGTAACGTTTCGAAATCCTCAAAAGTTCCTCTTCAGATAAAAACCGAAATGGATCGGTTTTTGTCTGAAGAGGAACTCGTGAAGGGTTCGAAACGTTGCGTTTATTTTCAATTTCTTGCAATTTCATTGCAAGGCATATTCCATCCCTTACGAGAATAATATATATATATATATATATATATATATATATATATATATATATATATATATATATATACATATATATACATGTATATAATATAAGGGACATAACTTTTTTCTTTCTTTCTTTCTTTCTTTAACTTGTATGAACTACCATGTTATTGTAAGAAGTGTTATCATTATTGATATGAACCATATTTTCATCAGTATTATTACTATTGTTTTATATATATATATATATATATATATATATATATATATATATATATATTAGCATTTTCATCATTATCATTATTACTGATATCGTTACTATCATTATAGTAAAAACGCCACAGAGGAAAGAGAAGACATTCCAAGCAGTGAAGGGAAGAATGGCAGATACGAAAGACTATTATAAAGCAAAGACTGCACGAAAAGCAATAATAATAATAATGATAATAATAATAGTAATAATAATAATAATAAAATAAATAAGACTGATAGATGATAAAGGCTGTTAATCCTGAGCTTCAGGGGTATCTGTCATAAAACCAAAATCAGGACGGAAGGCACGATGCCGGTCTATACATATATGGTACGTGGCTTGAATACATTTAAGTATTACGTCAAGTATGGCTCCCCGTACATGGCTTCAAGCATGACTCTCAGTAAATGGCCACAGGCATGGCTCTCTGTAAATGGCCACAAACATGGCTCTCTGTAAATGGCCACAGGCATGGCTCTCTGTAAATGGCCACAGACATGGCTCCTGTAAATGGCCACAGGCATGGCTCTCTGTAAAGGACCTGAAGCATGACCCCATGTAATACTACACTCAGCCTCCTTTCGGGATATCAGTGCCTCAAGGTAGGTGCTGTCCATAGCTCAGTCCTGTGATAATCATATGGGTCTGGATTAGTGCTTATTTCAGCTGGTCATTTGGCACGTGTACAAACTAACAACTCGATCCACTTCATTCGTTTCATTCCTAGCCAACCGTTCGTGTGAATAAATTATCTTCTTTTTCTTGCTTTCGGGAAACGGAATAAAATAGTAGCACGCATTTTCCTGCTGCACACCATTTCATGTGACTGCTTTTAAAGGCCACAAGGCGATAGTGGAGATGTTGATAGGCAAGGGAGCCGAACCGAATGCAAAGGCAGATGGAGGGAAGCCAAATTCAGGCATGGGTAAGACAACTCGCAAAGGTATCAGGAATCGGCTGTCGCAAAGATATCGTAAAAATTTAATATAATCAGGGAGGAGACAAACTGGGAATTCCTTGAAAATTCAAAAGCACCTTTGTTTCGTTCGTCCGTCGGTCGGGTCTGCTCATTCGGTATATATCAGAAGAGAGAATGGAGGAGACCAATCAACAATGAAGACAATAGTATTAGTAGTTACAGAGATTAGCGATGTTTATAAAGTTAAACATGAATAAGTGGAAAATGTATATGACACCAGCCATCTCCCTCGCGTACATTTCAACTCATAACTTAGGTTGATTTGATCCTGTTGTACTATGATCGGCGTTACAACAGGCATAGAAAGTTATTTGTTCCACTTTATCTTGTCACTTTGTTTTATTTCTACTGTCTCTCTCTCTCTCTTTTTGGGGTGCATACCGAAAAAACACAATAATAATAGTAAGATTGTGGATGGAAAATACAGTGGAGTAGAAAGCGACACAACACAGAATAATAAACATATGTGAATACAGGGAGGATAAATACATGTGGTAACACACCATACGTATGGCCTAACAGAGCGGCAACATGGGGGCAGGCAACATGGTGCCCATGTGCTTGAAGTGTTGGCTCCACCAAAGGCAAGATGCAACTTACGCTACAGTGCCTTCGAGGCAACGGTAGAGTACAAACCCTGAGACAACAATAGCAATGCCAGTAAAGGCAGACAAGACGGGAACCCGTAGGTCACGTGAAAGGGGGGGGGGGGGGTAAAATCGAAGGGGTCCAGCTGATTTTCAAAGGAAAGGAAAAGCCTGGTGTTCATGACATGGAGGGAAATGTTAGCTGGGAGGTCTAAGGAGATTGGGGACAGCGTTGGCGATGCGGGAGTAGAATCAAAGAGAAAGCGGTGAGAGGAGCGTCACGTGATGGCGTTTGTGAGGGAAAAGAGCGGATGATAAGGGGTTTCTTCAGTACAAAGGCTTAGATATATGCATACAAATATACACACACATACATAAGCATGTATGTATATACGTGTGTATATATGTGTGTGTGTGTGAGTAATTATAATGAAACATGTGACAAACAATGTTCTGTAGAAACAGATTACGGAGGAAAACCAAGAACGAAAGTGGTATATATGAAGAAATATGAAATTGATATGAAGTGTCTCCTTTCTTTAGGTCTATTTCCCCCTTTCTCCGAAAAACATCCTGCTCTTCCTCTGACTCGTGTAAGATATTCCGTCCTCGAAACCTCTCCGTTTGTAATTCCTCTGTGCTGATCCCATTTATATATATATATATATATATATATATATATATATATATATATATATACATACATACATATATACATATGTATACATACATACATATATATATATATACATACATACATATATATGTGAATATATATATATATACCTATATATGTTTTAATATACATATATATACATACATATACATACATCTCTATACATATATATATGTATATATATATATGTATATATATATATATATATATACACAAACCCATATGTATGTGTGTGTATTAATAAGTATATATATACATATATAAGTACACGCACATGCACACACAAATGCACACAGACACACACACATATATATAGTCACACCTTTGTTCCTTGATCATTATCTTCTCCTTTCAGGGTCTACTCCGTTACACTGCGCAGCCCAAGGAGGTCACGAGGCGGCGGCCGAGGAGCTCATCGTCAAGGGCGCCGATGTGAACGCAAAGGACGAGGATGGTGAGGCAATCTTAAGGAAGACAATTTCGATTTTAAGATTACATTAAGGGACATATTAAAGGACTTAGATATCAACATTCCCATGATTATTTTTTCTATGAGTGTTACTTGTATGAATTACCATGTTATTGTAATAAGTATTATCGATTTTGATATAAGCCTTACTAGTATCAGTATCATTACTATTATCATTGATATTATTATCAACATCATCATAATTCCTAGCATTATTATTAACAGTAGAAGTATCATTACAATCATTATAATTATCATTGTTACGCCACAGAGGATAGGTTTGGGAGAAAAAATGCTAATCAGTGGAAGGAACATACGAGCGACTGCTATAAAGCAAAAGCCACATGGAAAGCAAAGAAAGATAAAACTGATAGATGATAAAGGCTGTCAAATTACCGCATGTATCAGGGGTATCTATAGTAGAATAAGGACGGAAGGCATGGGGCGTGGCTTGAGCCTTGGATTTATATAAATGGTGCATCAACCATGGCTCTGTGTACGTGGCCTCAGGTATGGCCCATGTACTGTAAATGGCTCCTGTGTATACAACACTCAGCCTCCTTTCGGTAAATCAGTGTCGTAAGGCAAGTGTTGTCCGTACCTTGGTCTACCATTGTTCCTTTCACAGCCGCTACCACTGTTATGCAGTGGTAGCGTTCTCGTCTTTTGGTACTTCATTTGGTACGTATACAAACTAACCATTCGATCCACTTCATTCGTCTCATTCCTAACCAACCGTTCGTATGTATGAATTATCTTCATTTCTCGTTTATTTATCTTCGGGAAACGGAATAAAAATATAACGCATCTTCCTGTTTCAGGTGACACACCACTTCACTTGGCTGCTGAAAAAGGTCACAAGGCGATAGTGGAGATGTTGATAGGCAAGGGAGCCGAACCGAATGCAAAGGCAGATGGAGGTAAGCCAAATCCAGGCATGGTTAAGCCTCTTGACTCGCACGGGTATCGGGAATCGGCGGTAGCAGCGATCTCGTAAAATTCTATCCTTCTTATCAGGGAGGAGACAATTTGGGCTTTTCCTTGAGAATTCAAGAACTTCCTCCCATTCTTCCGTAGTTTGGGCTTGTTCATTCAGTAGTTCAGAAGAGAAAATGAAGGAGACTCCACAATAATGAAGACAAAAATAGTATTAGTGATGACAGAAATTAGTAAAGGAAATGATGGTAATCAGACATGAATAATGGTAGAAATGCGTGACACCAGTCATCTTACGTACATTTTAACTCATTACAGATATAAGTTGATTTAACGTTCCCAGTGATATGATCCTATTGTGCTATCACCGGGGTTACGCCAGGCTTAGAATGTTATCTGTTCCGCGATATCATGTCATTTTGTTTTGTACTTGCTATCTTTCTGTCTCTCATTCATTTCATATATATATATATATATATATATATATATATATATATATATATATATATATATATATATATATATATATATATATATATATATATATATATATGTATACATGAAAAACTCGCCATCATTTCGGGTGTGACAGATCCATGTGAATGAAAATGAATGTCACCATTTATTTCCCGCTTCAAGGAATTCCAGTTAAAATTTCAACATAACGTTTGGTGGCCGTTTTAATCTACCCGAATTTCCAGATTTATCCAGAGTTGGCATTAGGGCGCGCGCGCACACACTCACAGACACATATATGTGTTTGTGTGTGTGTGAGTGGATACACACGCACATATATATGTGCGCGTGTGTGTGACGTGTTATTATAATCATACATATGAGAAACTTTTTTTTTTTTTTTTTTTTTTTTTTTTTGTAATAACAGATTAAGGAGGAAAAACATGAAAGTGGTATTTAAGAAACGAAACATGAAATAATATGAAATTAGTGGCTCCTTTCTTTATTTCTTTCTTCTACCATCTCCATTCTGCTCTTTCTTTGACTCACGTGCCTGTCTTATGCAATTGCACGAGTGCACTGCCACAATCTCAGGAAATCGAGTCAGAGTCCGTAGCAAGTTTGTAAGCTGTTCCGTCCTTGAAATCGCTCCGTCTCTAATTCGTCAGTGCTGATCCCAGACACACATACACATATATGTATATACATAAAATATGCGCTCTATTCCTTGATCATTATCTTCCGTTTTCAGGATGACTCCGTTACACTGCGCAGCCCAAGAAGGTCACGAGGCGGCGGCCGAGGAGCTCATCGTCAAGGGCGCCGATGTGAACGCAAAGGACGAGGATGGTGAGGCAATCTTAAGGAAGACAATTTCGATTTTAAGATTACATTAAGGGACATATTAAAGGACTTAGATATCAACATTTCCATGATTTAAAAAAATCATTTTTACTTGCATGAATTACATGTTATTGTAATAATTACCATTATTGATATTAACCATATTATCATCAGTATTATTACTCTTGTTATTTCTATATATTTTTTTTCTTGTCGTTTTTATCATTATCATCATTATTACTAATATCGTTATAGTAAAAAACGCCACAGAGGAAAGATTTGAGAGAAGATATTCTAAGGATTGAAAGGAATTAAGACTATTATAAAGCAAAGGCCACATTAAAAGCAAATTAGATACATAAATGAATAAATAAATAAAAAATAATAAATAAAACTGTTAGATGATAAAGACTGCCAAATAATCACAAGCAGCAAGGGTATTTTTTAATAAAATCAAGATCAAGACGGAAGGCATGTTGCTGGTGCTATTCATAGATGGTGCGTGGCTTGAATACATGTATCGCAAGTACGGCTCCCCGTACATGGCTTCAAGCATGGCTCTCTGTAAATGGCCACAGGCATGGCTCTCGTAAATGACCTGAGGCATGACCCCATGCGATAGTACACTCAGCCTCCTTTCGGGATATCAGTGGGTCTGGATCAGCACTAATTTCAGCTGGTCATTCGGCACTTGTGCATCTAACAACTCCATTCACTTCATTCGTTTCATTCCTAGCCAGCCGTACATATGTATGAATTGTCTCCTTTTCTCTTTTATTTATCATCGGGAAAAGGAATAAAAAAGTAAAGCGCATCTTATTGCACACTTCACTTGGCTGCTGGAAAAGGTCACAAGGCGATGGTGACGTTGATAGGCAAGGGATGAAGGATGACAATAGTATCAGTAACTATAGCAATGGTTATAAAGTTAACAGGAGTAAGTGGAAAATGAATGACAGCAGCCATCTCCCTCGCGCACGTTTCAACTCATTTCCTGTTGTACTATGATCGGCGTTATGACAGGCTCATAAAGTTCTGTGCTCCACGTTGTCATGTCACTGATTTCGACTCTCTTTCTGTCTCTCATTAATTTTATTATCATTATTATTCCTTTTGTACACATAAAAAAGGTATGAAAAATCAAGAAATTTCAAGAAAACGTTTAGTGACAGTTATCATCTACCCGAGTTTCCAGATTTATTCAGAGATGGCATTGCGGCAACATGCGCATGCAAATACGCACACACGTATATATATGTACATTTATATATATATATACACACACACAAATACACATATGTGCATACACAAACACATATATATGTGTATGCATGTATAATCATAATGTGAGAAACAATGTTCTTTACAGATTAAGAACGAGTGTATTTTATGATACGAAATATAAAATGCAAAATGAAATGTCTCTTTTCTTTAGGCATTCGATCCACTACATTCGTCTTATTCCTAACCAACCGTTCATATGCATGAATTATCTTCATTTCTCGTTTATTTATCTTCGGGAAACAGAATAAAAATATAACGCATCTTTCTGTTTCAGGTTACACACCACTTCACTCGGCTGCTGGAAATGGTCACAAGGCGATAGTGGAGATGTTGATAGGCAAGGGAGCCGAACCGAACGCAAAGGCAGATGGAGGTAAGCCAAATCCAGGCATGGTTAAGCCTCTTGACTCGCACGGGTATCGGGAATCGGCGGTAGCAGCGATCTCGTAAAATTCTATCCTTCTTATCAGGGAGGAGACAATTTGGGCTTTTCCTTGAGAATTCAAGAACTTCCTCCCATTCTTCCGTAGTTTGGGCTTGTTCATTCAGTAGTTCAGAAGAGAAAATGAAGGAGACTACACAATAATGAAGACAAAAATAGTATTAGTAATGACAGAAATTAGTAAAGGAAATGATGGTAATCAGACATGAATAATGGTAGAAATGCGTGTGGCACCAGTCATCTTACGTACATTTTAACTCATTACAGATATAAGTTGATTTAATGTTCCCAATGATATGATCCTATTGTGCTATCACCGGGGTTACGCCAGGCTTAGAATGTTATCTGTTCCGTGTATCATGTCATTTTGTTTTGTACTTGCTATCTTTCTGTCTCTCATTCATTTCATATATATATATATATATATATATATATATATGCTATATATATATATATATATATAATATAATGTATACATGAAAAACTCGCCATCATTTCGGGTGTGACAGATCCATGTGAATGAAAATGAATGTCACCATTTATTTCCCGCTTCAGGAATTCCAGTTAAAATTTTCAACATAACGTTTGGTGGCCGTTTTAATCTACCCGAATTTCCAGATTTATCCAGAGTTGGCATTAGGGCGCGCGCGCACACACTCACAGACACATATATGTGTTTGTGTGTGTGTGAGTGGATACACACGCACATATATATGTGCGCGTGTGTGTGACGTGTTATTATAACATACATATGAGAAACCTTTTTTTTTTTTTTTTTTTTATTTTTTTATTTTTTGTTAATA